GGAGGTGATGTTTCTTAGAGTTAAAAATGTTAAGAAAGTAGAATTAAAAACTCTGTTAGAATATGACACTACATCTTCTATTTTGCTGTCATTTCCAGTTTCGCACCACAGGAACAAGTTTATCTAAAATTGCGCAGTTCCTAGCGACGGTTATCCGGCATATCTAACGCAGGATATATCTGCAGGGTGTTTCACGAAAGGTGAACAAATTCGATATTGCGAAAAATCGCCTGCGTCGATATGGAGCGCGGTCGACAGCGTGACACCCGCGAAGTGTCCCACTAACTGCTATCGCACTAAAAAAACATGTGCATCCTCGCTCAGAGAAGACACTTTTGTAGCTTCATCGACCCCAATTGAAATGCTTGTATGAAACCAAGGAAATTAATTCAACTTGTTAAGTGGCCTTTCTGCTATCTTTGAAAATCACATTAGTGCGCGCGATGTAGCCTTGTATTCCAGATTTCTCAAGGCCGGGAAAGGATCCAATCAATAGTTCAAGCGCGTACGACTGCTCATTTTACAGACATATGCGTTAATATAAACTGGTCTTATTAGGTAAAGATGGAATTGTGCAAAGGTCCTCGAGACATTTTCGCTCTAAACGAAGTTACAATGTGGCACATGCGCACTCCAAATACCTGGCAGCTATTTGTTCCCGTCATGACTAGAGTAGATTAACCCAGTCCAAATAAGCAAAAGCGGTTACTTTCGCATACTGTAAACGACTAAATTTTCGCGGGGACCTAGTTGTCGCAAATTTCGCGAATCGCCTACAATTCGCGGAACATACATCCCGTGAACAATTTGGGCAATTTCTGAACGCTACGGAAGCTACACTCGAGTCGCGAAAATTAGAACCCGTGAATATTTTCAAATTTTCTTCTTTGGCCCGATTCGCGAAAATTTGAGCCCGCGAAAATTAAGTGGTTTACAGTATTTCTTTTGTTATTGAAATTAATTTTATTCTATGTTTTTATTGAAGTGCTTCCCTACCTTTCATGATGACGCAATTTTATTTGACAAAATGCACGCGTTTCGTAATTATTTACACAAGTCTATCTTGTAAAAAACGTTTTGTTTAATAAACACGGTGTTAACAGCCCGGTGAGCGCAACCTTAGTGAGAGAAAAAAAGTAAAAACCAGAAAAAAATGCAGAAAGTTAAATCTGAATTATCTTGAATTGCTCGGAGCACCGTGAATACGTACTGCAAAGGACTCATTCATGAAATGCGACAATGCTCCAAAACAAACAATGTGTTTAGCATTTTTATATTTTTGCAATACTGATCTTCATTTTCGTCCGGTGTGGTTTTTGTGATGGCAGACTCCTTCAATACGCGTATGGTCACGAAAAGTGTACGTTACGCTATGGGAACTCTTCGTACGTCGACAAAGGGGCATGATTAGTACAAATGATTATTTTTTAGGTTCTTGTCCCTTTTCCACATCAACTGGATATTTTGATATTATTGTAAGGTATACCCGAGCAAAGGAAAAAAAATTTAAACAGCTGGGTTGGGAAAAGGAAGTCATAAAACGAATTTACAATGAAAAAAAAATTTAGAGCAGTACTTACGGAGCGATACAAATTTCTAGTTGGTGCCCGCTAGCGCCATTGAAGAGGGGCCGGTATTTATCACGTGACTGGTCGCTAGTTTTCACGTGGTGCTTCCGCTCTTTCGATAGCCCCCCCCCCCCCCCACTTCCTATGGTCTCTTAAAGTCACTTATTCATCATCGCTTGAAGTGCAACGAAAACGAATATTAATAAGTCACTGTTGGAGCCAAAACGAAGCACTTGAAAGAGCGCAAGCAGCACGTGATAAACCTGTGCGCCGGTCTGAAATCGAGGGGGGCGGCGCTCCGGAGTGTTCCCATCGGGTGGCGGCGGCGTAAAGGAACCAGGAGGGAGACGTTAAACCGGCGGCGCATCACGCTCAGCATGCGGCGGTGGCGTGACTTTAAGGCGGCGGCGGCGGCGCAGGGACAGTGCGCACAGGTCTACCACATGACCAGCGGCGGCTCCCGCGGTCTCCAACTACAAACTCGTTTTGCGTCGTAAATATAGCTCTAAAAATTGTTTTCTTCGTTGTTAATTCGTTTTAAAACATTATTTTTTTTTCCATTAAGCTGGCTAAACAATTTTTTTTTTCTTTTGCATGTGTCCTTTAGTTAACCAAACTGCGAAGTGATCATGCCTTCGCAACTGAAAATCGGCTTAGTGCGGCTTGCTGGTCATAAACAAAAAGGGCGGTAAACCTGTAGATATACATATAAAGACGTTGCAGCTAATAGCCATTTTGAATTCCCACCGTGACGTTGTAATGAGATAAATACACATGAGAACAAAAAGGGTGTCATTCAAAGTCAAGCCACAAGCCTGCCTTACACTGCCGTCGTATGACAGAAATGCTTATAAAAATGGTGTGATGTGAAAATATATTTGTGATAGTCATATTAGTTTCAATAAATGTTTAAAGATGTGAGTGAAGTGATATTTTAAAATAGCATAGGACTAGAGTTGCATTGGTGATATTCAAAATAAAAATACAATATGTGAGCTGTCTTAACTTTCTAAGTACTGAGGTGGTAAACGTTTCGTTCCCCTACATTTTTTCGCGGTTCTCGCGCCCACAGTACGCACTGCAGCTCTGTTTTGTACCCTAAATCACTTTATTCTTTAAAAAAAAAATATACATATAACGGCTTTGAAAGAATGCCAGAAAAGGCTTAAAGTAAGAAAGAGAAAGATCTTAAAAAAGAATATCCTGGAAGGATTGACGTGTCATCCAAAGTCTCTTCAGGAATTTTCGCTAAGCCTCAGCAGAACGGAGGCTGCCATGCTCAGTCTGCTGGAACTTTTTCTTTATATTTTTAGAAAAAAAAAAAAAAAAGAAACACGGTTACAATCCCCTGTAATGCCGAATTAGAGCGCAGCTCTTGAGGAGGAGGAGAGGAAGGTACGGAGAGAAGGCTATGTCCTCCTCCTCTCCTGCTCGTCTCCCATTAAAGGAACATTCCCCGCGAAATTTAGAAAAAAAATTTCCCCGCGGTTACGCCGACGCCGACGGCGACGTCGACGCCGACGCTGCTCAAGCCGGAAACGGGCGCATAAGAGCTGCGCTCTAAAACATGATTAGGAGCTAATCTTTTTTTTGTCGCACTGGAGGTAAATAAAATAATATAGCTTAGCATAGAGAAAGTGTTCCTAACCCAATACCAGTCCATGCAAGACCGCAGGAACCCTTCTTTGAGGACAAGAAATATTTTAGAGTGTGGTACTTGTATCCCATACAACCTTGGTGTTAGGCGTCTTTTTTGCGATGGCATATTCATTCATTCTTACACTCATATATTTATTTTATCTGCCGATGAACAGTTATGACGTCTTACACTTGGAAGTTCAATCTAAGATATGCAAAGTCATTCTTTATGATTATGCATGGATATGTTCACACAAAGAAATGTGACATATCATTGTCCTTCGTGGCTTTTATAAAACACCACTTTTCTGACATAAAGAGGCTAGAATGTAATGGATTGTCACAGGCTTTGTCAATCGTATATTTGTATTTCAATAAAAAAGGAATTCTTTTGTTCCTTCTAAAAAAACAGTTTCGATGATATCATACCGGCATCCTATGAAAAATGCGAATCAAACAATTTGCCTTATATGGTACATTGAATTTCGCAATCATTTTATTTTTAACAATTAATGGATCTGATATAATCGATCCTACGCAAAATGTTGTAAAAATGTTTTCAGTCGAAAAACTAGTCATTCATTCATTGAGTAGTGAAAAAAGACAGCAAATTTAAGATAATCGTGACTATTATTTGCTTCTCAAATTGTAGAATTTTTATTTCTCGGCCCGACATAATTTGCAGTGGACTCGAAAACGAACCTCAACTATATATTTAATTTCTACACATCGTAATAAAAAATCGCAATATTCTCGATCATTCATCGCGTGGGACCCATAGTGCTCATCACTACCAAAGTGTAAATGTTTCCCGAAAGTTAGTTTCATTCCTAACAAAGCAAACAGTATGCCCTGCAATCATGCCGATGTGCTACTAGCTATATGCAACCAAACAGAAAAAAAAGGATCGATCGCTAAAGGGAGTTTTGCCAATGAAAATCCAACTATCCTATAAACAGTGGCATGCGTCCAGTCTTCCATCGTGCATGAAGTGCATCGCAGAACTTCTTTCTATTGTCAACGTTAAGAATGAAACATACAACTAAGACGCACTTGCTCAATCTCAGGCAACGTCTAATAGTGTTTCCTTGTTTTCTCAGAACTTAAGAGGCGCTCCGACTTCTTAATATTACTAGGCTCCACATTAAACGGTCCTACACGGCAAAGTAATATAAAAGGTAGAAAGCACTGATTTAAGAAAAGGCTATGAGGAGTGTAGAGAATGTGGAGGATGGTCTTAGGTGTTGCACGAGGAGCCGGGGCTATGACTCGACGCCTCGTCTCGTTCAGGCAGTGACTAGATCACAGAAATGAACACGGTTACTCTGATTCCGAGCAGGTTTAACACATTGGATAAAAGTAGTTGCTTAGATTTATACTCATCTCATTTCGTTGTCGAAGAAAATGTTATACCTAGAGTAGAAACCTGAATATTTTAATTTGCTTTCTCGTCCAAGCCATCTTTGACAGCACCACCAAGCTCCTACTATATAATCATATTACAATCAGTACGCAAACCTGTTTTTTTTTCCTTGAGAAGATATTCTTTAAATTCAAGGCAGTTTCTGCAACTTTCGAAGAGGAGTGTCTCGAAGGATGCATCCGGGGTCAGACGTGCTATGGCCGTTCAAGGTTAACGTGAATTCTCATTGATCCTCCATACGCGTAGGTTGGGCGGTGATGCTTTCTTCAGTGCGTGAAAGATTCTGCAGCCTCTCATTGGACAAATAGACATTTCTATATCAAGAAAGTTTTGTATAAAAAGGAGCAGATTCCGATTCCATTCAACAGTCTGTTCTTCAGCTCTCAATCAAGACCATGGTCGGAGTAAGTTCTCTTTTTTTGTAGCCTTGGATCCAGGCAACTTACTCATAATTTCGTTGATTAACGTCGTAAAAAAAAATATTAGTCAAATTGTAACTAGTTTGCTGTACCCTACGTTAATACGTTTTTGGCGGTTTACCGAGGGAGTATATATTTATATTTTATAGTATTAAGACCAAAACATAATTTAATGTAACATTACACACAGTGACTTCTACGTGTAACATAAGATCAAGTTGAAATAAATACGCCTAATAAAAATTAATTATTTTTAATAACCACACTTTTTCTATATAAATCAGAAGAAAATATATTTTACATCAATAATGCATCATCAAGCAGAGCCCATGAGCATACCTATTTGGTTTGGCGTGTAACTTGTGCGTTACCGAAAAATGAACTATCGAGAGCGTGCAGATAAGACTTTTTTTTCATGCAGTTCCGTGCTTGCCTTCTTCTGGCCTTGGCCACCAGCGCTTTCGCTGGCTTCACCCATGGAGGCATTGGCTACGGCGGCCTAGGCTACGCCGGACTTGGCTACGGCGGCCTCGGCTACTCCGGCCTTGGTTACGGCGGCCTCGGCTACTCCGGCCTTAGCTACGGGTCTGGCCTCGGCTATGGTCACGCTGTTGGTATTGGCCATGGCTTCGGCTACTCTGGACTTACTGGCTACTCCGTTGCTGCCCCAGTCGCTAGCTACGCTGTTGCTGCTCCAGCTGTGAGCCGCACCGTGTCCACTTCCTACCACGCCGCCCCAGCCGTCGCCTCCTACGCTGTGGCACCAGCTGTGGCCAAGGTTGCCACCACTTACGCCGCCCCAGCTGTGGCCAGCTACCAGACCTACCACGCTGCCCCAGCTGTGACCAAGGTCGCCACCTACCAGGCTGCTCCAGCTGTTGCTTCCTACGCTGTCGCCCCAGTTGCCACCTACGCTGCCGCCCCAGCCGTCACCAAGGTTGCCACCACCTACCAGGCTGCCCCCGCTGTTGCGTCTTACGCTGTTGCTCCAGTTGCCACTTACGCTGCTGCCCCAGCTGTTGCCAAGGTTGCCACCACCTACCACGCCGCTCCAGCTGTCGCTTCCTACGCTGTTGCCCCAGCTGTCACCAGGGTTGCCACCGCCTACCACGCTGCTCCAGCTGTTGCCACCTACGCTGCTCCAGCCGTGGCCACCTACGCTGCCCCAGCTGTCGCCTCCTACGCTGTTGCCCCAGCTGTCACCAGGGTTGCCACCGCCTACCACGCTGCTCCAGCCGTCGCCAGCTACCAGACCTACCACGCTGCCCCAGCTGTCGCCACCGTCGCCCACGCTCCAGCTTACGGCTATGGAATCGGCTCCCTCGGCTATGGCGTCGGCCACTACGGCTTCGGTCACGGTCTTGGCAGCTACGGCCTGAACTACGGTTACGGCCTCGGTGGCTTCAACGACTACACTGCTCTCCTCCGCAAGAGGAAGTGTAAGTAATGCCTGAATTTGTTATAGTATCTATTTTTCTGCCTTCAATATTTCTTGTGATTCACTTTATATAAACTGAGGCGTAGATCATATTGGGGGATTAACTCATACCTTCGTGGCAGCAGAATATGCATATGACTGTCGAGGTCGGGAATCGTTCGGTGACTTGAATCCCGAGTCAACGTCCTGGTATTGCGGGCGAGAAACCAGAGCACTATTTTTTTCTTCGTATGTGTATTAATCTAAGCCGCTAAAATATTTTTTTTTCTTTCTCTTGCAGAAACCACATCGGAACGTCCATTAGCGTACTTGGCCAAGGTTCTCAGAGTAGTTGCGTTGCGCTTTCTTTGCTGTATGCGGAAACTCTGTCCTATGTCTTTCCAATAAATTATTTTGAATGTTGTATGCAAGTCTTGATAATTATTATTCTCAGTTGAGGGTTACTTCAAACCACCCGCTCAGATACAAGGATAGATGGAGAGAAATCACGTTTAATGAAGAGCAACACATAATGTTGCTTTTATTTTTTTATCACGAATGTATTTTGTTCGCCCATATCGTAGAGGACAAGAAAACTTACATTGAGTTGAACTTTAGGGCTTGTGTACCATACGTTATTTTCTTGACTACAGTATGGTCACCACTTTTACCTACACTGTTAAGAAATTTTCACCCCTTTTTACGGGCAAAAGTGGCCGGTTCAATATTGCCGACATGGTTTCCCATAATCTAGAAACTGAACTGTCTGTAAAAACAAGGCATATAATTTCGTAAAATGATGGAACGTCCGTAGTTTAGATTACGGACAGTTGTCCGTTTTCGCATTTTACGGATAAAAGTTGCCGGTTCAATATTGGCGGCATTGTTTCCCATAATCTAGAAACTGGACCGTCCGTAAAAAGACAAGGCATATAATTTCATCGAATGCGAAAACGTGTGTAACCCACATTACGATCACAGCCATCCGTAAGAAATATCAAAGTTTTCCGCACTAGATAATGAAGCACTATAACCTTCCGCCTTAGATAAGTACAAAACTACGAGCCTGCAGCTCCGATACATCAGGCGACTGAACTGGCAGAGCTGTAGATCTGCATGGGGTGTCACCTAACGTATCAGAGGTGCAAGATTGGTGCGGATGGCTCATTGCTAAGCCTTCAAAAAGACAGAAAGGTCTAGTGCTTCGTTATTTAGTGTGAACAGCTTCCATGTTCAAGCAAACCAAAGTCACATGAAGTTTTTGTGGTACAGATTGGTATGGAGAGTTCGTAGCTCCGTCATTTAATATATAAACTTGTATAATTTTTCATCCTCAGACAAAACATACAAGAGTTCATGTTTCGCAAAAGAAAAATAGAACAAAACCTGTACTGCTCTTTGCCAGGATTTTATTTGTGTGAGGTCAGCTGTTCCTATAGTGACAGCTCAACAAACAAACCAATTAAGAAGTTTCGCCACAATGCCTCCATTGGAAGAAGGCATGCCTTACTTTAACTTTTGAGAAAGTTTACATTATAGATGGCCTTAAAGTTGGCCGTCCAGATGCCCCTCCATGCTTGCGCTTATAGCTGTCCTTCAATTGAAGGCCTTTTCGGCATCTTCATGGTGCATGTAAGGGCAGCTTGAAATAAAGAGCAGAAGAGGATTCGAAATCAATACACAATCACAACAAATTGTATATGACATACATGGTTGAATTCAGCGAGCAGTCTGCTTACCCACTAGCCCAGCTCCCCACTTTTCTACTGTACATGACATAAAAAAGAAACCTCTGATAAATTGAACCAAAGTAAAAATTTGCATTGATTTGAATACCCAACGCAACAAGGGCTTGAGAAATAAAACTAGCAATTTAAGATTGCATAACCATTCAATGATATTAAGAACTTTCCATTGAGCCATATCCCCTTTAGTAAATACAGGAGGCTCGCGATAATTCAAAGCTCTGATACTTAATACCTCCGGTTAAGACATACAAATTTTAAAACTTGTGTTTTCCCTCTATGTTTTCAGACGTATTCATAAGCCGCTTAATTCGAACGACGCTTTCATGTAATTCATACCTTTTGCTCTCGCGGCCAAGTTGAGCGCACTTTTTCGCAAGCAGCGGTGCTGGGTGGAGAGGCAGCACCTGTGTAGTTTGTTTTCGTGCGCGTTGCTTTCCCGTAGTGCACCGGTGCTCGGTAAGAAGCGCGCTCAACGGGGCTAAAGCAGAGCAGAGCGGTATATATATATATATATATATATATATATATATATATATATATATATATATATATACAGCAGAGCTATATATACAGCAGAGCCGTATATATACAGGCAGAGCGGGGGTGTGCACCAGACGCAGATAGAGGGCTTTACAAGCTCTCTTGGCCGACCAGAAGCTGAAAATAATCTCCTAGCCATGGTAGTGAGAAACGGTTTTAATAAGTGCGTAAGAGTTAAATGTAGTGACTGTTCACGGTTGAAAATATGGTGCATGCAATGTTTTGATTACGGTTATGGAAGATGTGAAAAACATATGTGACGATTGATTTCTGTTTTACTGAAACGGAGTATGACCGCTTTGATGGCCGATTCCGGGCGCTCGGTGCCTGGTGTACGGATTACATCGATCGTTCTGCTGGTCGCGCCTGGTTTTTGTATCTTCTATATCTTCCACTGTGATTTTGCATGACCGTGATCAAAACATCACATGCACTTCGGTCACCGAGATTTACTCCGACGCACTCATTAATTTTATTCTCGCAACCACCGCCAGGGTATTATGAGCGGCTTCTGGTTGGCCACATTCGAATTTGTGAAAACGCTCTGGAACACGCCCTGCGCGCCTTCGGCCAAGGGTGCTTCCTCATTTGCCTCTTATATACATCCCAATAAATGGTTAAACTCTCTTTATATACGTGCCTGAAGCAGAGGACACTTGAGCGACAAAAACGGGCGCCTTGCGGCAGTTTCCATAGCAACTTGCGCGGATGCTGTCATGGGGCAGCATGGCTTTATGTCACAACGTTCACGCAAGTTGCTATACAAACTGCAGCGCAACGCCCGGTTTCATTACTCATATGTCCCCGCTTAAAAGTACATAATACGCAACTCTTCTACTGGTTGAACAAACATAATTTTGTTTTGAGTTGTCATGTGCTGTATAAACAGTTACTGATAAACAACATTTTCGAGGGTTCAGTAAACTTTTGTCATAAATTTCACCAATGTTTTATGAGAATGTTTCCCAGAAACATGAAATTCAATATTTAATACCCAATTACCCCAATTAAAAACAGGATTGTGTTTCTACGTGCTTTGCTGTAGATTACTTCGAAATAAAATAGCACTTTTTGTTTGTCTTGTATGACAGACACTCGAGCACGCTCTTTGTGCACCAAGTATTTTTCGGAGCGAGAGCGACTTCTTGGCGCTCCGTCACCTCAGGTCTCGGAACAAGATGGCTGCGTTGACAAAAACATTGTCGAGACGAAAGAATGGTGCAGTTGAACTGCTGCCCCTTTTCAGACGAATAATACCGCATGCAGCAGGTAAAGACAAATTGATTTAAAAGTGAGAAAGCAATTACGTAGCATCCTGGAAAAGGTTTATTCATGCATCACCCTTGAAAACGAATTGAAAGTTGACTCGATTTGGTGTGCCGGTCTGACAAAGTTGAGTTTCCTACATTGACAAGCAAGCTCAATAATGTTGCCTTTCGTTTAAATATGAGCAGGATGCTTGGTCAATAAATATATTGGTCAAAGTAACTTTCCGCATATGTGCTGAAGTCGGGTCTTAAAAAGCTTTCAAAAGTATTAAAATATTTGAAGAAAGTTATAACGTCACCATCTTCTTCACTCAACAATCTGCCGTTCCACGCAGGTCTTCATTAATTTACCTTCTAGTTAATTTCGGCTCTGCCACCAAGCTACAGAGCCAGGATTTTGTTTCGAGGGGGGGGGCTGCGACGCGAGAAATGCAATCTTGCTCGTGTTAACCATGGCAGCGATACATTATTTTTCTTTTTTCTGAAATGCACAAATCGCTGGAGACATGTCTTAACCAAGTTTTCAAGAAAATGTAACCAAGCAATTTGCATTGCTGCTAGCAAAAAGTTGTTCAAAGCTTACAAAAGTAATCTTAGTATATCAATAATAGAAACACCGTCCGCACAATTAAAATCAGGAAAAGTAGAAGAAAAATAAAGCGTTTATTCAGTGCCGAATAAGTGATTAAAACAATTACTGCCTTATAGACCGAGTACCATCTTATATCTTACATTCAAAACCAAGTTTTAGAATGGTTGAGCTAAGAAAGACTAACTCTAAAACTGCTGTTCCTTGGGTACCCTTCTCGTCTAATTGCTTTTAGAACATATAAGGAAAGTACCACAATTCTCTTCTTATTAAAGTATCCTGACGAGAGAGTTATAATGAAGAGCACTGGATGCCTGGTATAATGAAATCTCCCATACAAATTAGGTTAGGGGAACATAGATTGTCAGAGTGCATGAATTAACATAACGTGTGCATTTCATCAACAGGAGAGCCAGGGGGTGGTAAACAACCCCAATCGGTATTGAATGCTTGCACCATACAGATTTAATCTGGGAGGCATCTCGAATCACAGAAAATTTGATATCAGCTAGAATGCAAAAATATGGCAACGCCACCGCGCCTCTACCGCTTCTATCAGCTCTCACTACGCAAAAACCGGGGGGGGGGGGGGGGCAGGGGGGGGGTATATTGGTATCGTACACACTGCCATGCAACCATGTTTCCATTACTCCTACAACATGAACCCAGCAGGACGAAATAAGCGGAATGAAGTTTGGACATTGGTTTATTACCCTTCTCGCTTTAACGTTTAAGCCACAAATGCTTTGTGTACTACGTAGGAATCAACGAGTACTAGCGGAAGAGGCGGCGGCCTCGGAAGTAGTGTGGTCACTGTGTTTAATTAAGGCTTTAATTGCATCGTCCCAATCATATCGTATGTTATCAATGAATATGTGGTCATAACGAAAGCGGATGGTAGAACCATTGCTCCGTGATGAAGCAGAGGCGTCCCACATTTTGGTTTACGAGCTGAACGTATGTCAGGCAAGAAATATTCAGATATACGAATATCCGAGTCCAAGTCTAAAGCCATATCTAAAGACCTCAATTTTAGCAAGGAACTCCAATAGTTTGATAATTACGGGACGAGAATGATCGCCATGACGTCTACCAAGTCTATGACATCTTACAATTTGCGGGCAATTTACTTTAAGTTTCTCAAAGAAAAACTGCAATACGTTGGATAATAACGCCTCATTACCTTCATCAGCTTCCTCGGAAAGACCATACAAGATAACGTTATTTCTGCAGGAGTGGTTTTTGAAGTCGTCATTCCTATAAACAAGCCGGTCTACCACT